TACATAGGGGAGATGTATACGAGGCTATAATAACATTGAAACGTGCTCAGTACACAACTTGAAGTCCCTTAGAGGTGTCTTCCTTCTCCACAGCACTGAGCTGGAATCCTCATCCCTGAGATCCTTTTCCCATAGTCCTTAGTCCTTATCCTCCTTCTCTTCTCTCTTTCATGTAAAGTTACTTTTTTCCACTTGACTTTGGGCATCAGGGTCTATTCTGAACAGGACTCTTTTTTAACAAATTGGTTTCTTTTTAGAAAACATTATTGTAAATATTTGTGGAAAATATAAAAATTACGAGTTTCACAAAACACTGGAACACTCATGTTTTTTAAAAAAAGCGGGGAGATTTGTTAAATAAATTTTAGTATTACTTGTTACTACATAAAACTTGTTGAGCTCTCATGGGCAACATGAGAATCCCTAGGTAAATGTGATCATTTCCATGGTTTTAGATATGACAAATGTGCTGACAACACTCAAATTTGTATTTCTAACACAATCTTTCCTCTGTGTTCCAGACATATTATCTCACTTTAGATTAATATATCTATGGTTAATGTCTCGTTGATACCTTGAACTTACCATATTCAACCTAGTCCTCATCTTGTTTCCCCCAGTCTTCCCAAACTCAGAAAATGCAGTACCATCTGAAAAGTTACTAAAGTCAGAAACTTAGTAGGCATCGCTAGTTCTTTCCTTCTTTCCCACTTCTTTCCATACCCAGTTGATTAACAAGTCTTTTAGCACTGCCTCCAAAATACAGTCATCAACGTCTTTTCATTCCCATTCCTCACCGCACTCCAGAAGTTTCCATGAAGAAAGCGCTGTATATATAAAAGCATAGAGATCTAAAAGGGCTGGATTGTCTGAGGAAACTACAGGTGTATAAGGTTTGTAAGTCTATGTGGTTTCAAGGAGATGAGGCTGGAAAACATGTTCCTTAAAAGATGGGATTCAAGAGCGAAGGTGGCAGGTTTGGGTGAGGACCCATGCAGAGATCGGGCACAAACGCTTAGGCTGTCTCTTTTCCGAAATACTAGCAAAGGAAAGATGATACCAAACAAAGGAAACATAACACACAGTTTTAATAAGCAAAAAGAGGTAACAAGCTTTTTTCCTTCTCATCCAAAAGAATAGGTCTTGCTAAGTGTACATTACCAAAAGTATTATGGTTGTGAATAGGCTGGGCACCCATTAGAAAAGCAAAATAGGCTGGGTGTAGTCGCTCATGCCTGTAAATCCCAGCAGTTTGGGAGGCTGAGGCAGAAGAATCACTTAAGTTCGAGATTGCAATTAGTTATGATTGTGCCACTGTACTCCAGCCTGGGCAACAGAGTGAGAACCTGTCTCAAAAACAAAAAAGCAAAAATAATAAAACTACACATGTTAACTTTTAGTTATGGGTGAATTTATTTAATCTCAAAGGCAGAACTCGCTTTAAGTTGGCATATTTTAACTTTGGAGGAACACCCAGCACATACTTGCTTTCTTTTTTTCTTCTTCTTTACTATGTTAAAAAATTAAGATATAAATCATATGCCATAAAATTCATCTTTTTACATGTACGATTCAGTGATTTTAGTATTTTCATAAGGTTGTAAAACTATTACAACTATGTAATTCCAGAACATTTTTGTCATCTTCAAAGTAAACCTCCCACCTATTAGCAGTAATTCACCATTCTCCCTCTCTCCAGAAGTCCCTGTTAACTACTTTAATCACCCTTCTGTCTCTATGGATTTGGCTATTCTGAACATTTCATGTAAATGAAATCATACAATATGTGATCTTTTGTGATTGGCCTATTTCACTTAGCATGATGTTTTCAAGGTTCATCCATGCTGCAGCATGCATCAGTACTTCATTCCTTTATATGGCTAAATAATATTTTATTTTAAATGATATTTTATTTTGTGGATATACTACCCTTTATCTATCCATTCATCACTAATGGGCATTTGGGCTGTTTTCATTTTTTGACTATTATAAATAATGTCACTATGGACATTTGTTTACAAGTTTTTATGTGGACCTATAGTTTCATTTCTCTTGGATATATACTTACAAGGTGACTTGCTTGGTCATATGGTAACTCTGTATTTAACTTTTTGTGGAACTACCAAGCCGTTTTTCTAAAGTGGCTGCACCATTTTACATTCCCATTAGCAATGGATTCTAATTTCTCCACATTCTTGTCAACACTTGTTATTGTCTGTTTTGTGTTGTTCTTATGGCCATCTTAGGGGCTTGCTTTCTTTTCTGCTCTCTGAGGTCCTACCTCACTTGCTGGTTGAAACCCAGTATTTCACTTTTCATTCTTTATTTTTAATAATCTGAGGGTGATTGAAAATGGCAGACTACACAGTGTTTTAAGAATCCAGAAATTTCTAGCTAGCCTGGAATATTTGGAAGTTCTGGTAACATTGGGCAACAATTGGTTGGAAATTAGTAGAGGCCTTTCAATGTTCACCATCTTCTACTGTCTTACACCTGAGCTGCTTTTTATATTTATCTTTTTTACCTGGCTCCATAGATAACTGAATTTGAGGCTCCTGGTTAAAACAATCTGACATAACTTAATCGTGAATGTTGAATCTCAGAGCAATAAATAAGGTACTCTAAAAATAAACCTAACCAAGGAGGCAGGAATAGAAACTTTATGAGGAAAATTATTAAACCTTTACTGAAAGAGATCAAAGAAGATCTAAATAAATGAAGAGAAATAACATGTTCAAGGATAGAAGGACTCAATTCACCCTAACATAATCGAATTCAATATAACACAATTAAAACTTCAACAGGATTACTCATGGAAATTTAACAAAATAAGTCTAAAATTGTTTGCAAATGTAAAAGGCTGAGAATAACTTAAGACACTCCTGAAGAAGAATATTGTTGAAGGAGAGTTTCTCTACCAGATAATCACATGATTTACAAAGCTATAGGTGATTAAGATGGTGTGATATTTGAATAATAATCAGTGGAACAGAATATAAGAGCTGGTAACAAACATGCACAATTTATAACTTTATGTATCAATAGATTTGGCACTGCAAACTATAAACATTAAAAAATTATTTAAGAAATAATCGACAAAGCCCAGACGCGGAGAAAATGGCAGCAGGGGTCGAAGCGCTGGCCGAGGTGGCGGCGACGGAGATCAAAATGGAGGCGGAGAGCGGCGCGGCAGGCGTGCCGAGTGGCAGCGGGGCTCCGGGCCCTAAGGGTGAAGGAGAACGACCTGCTCAGAATGAGAAGAGGAAGGAGAAAAACATAAAAAGAGGAGGCAATCGCTTTGAGCCATATGCCAATCCAACTAAAAGATACAGAGCCTTCATTACAAACATACCTTTTGATGTGAAGTGGCAGTCACTTAAAGACCTGGTTAAAGAAAAAGTTGGTGAGGTGACATACGTGGAGCTCTTAATGGACGCTGAAGGAAAGTCAAGGGGATGTGCTGTTGTTGAATTCAAGATGGAAGAGAGCATGAAAAAAGCTGCGGAAGTCCTAAACAAGCATAGTCTAAGTAGAAGACCACTGAAAGTCAAAGAAGATCCTGATGGTGAGCATGCCAGGAGAGCAATGCAAAAGGCTGGAAGACTTGGAAGCACAGTATTTGTGGCAAACCTGGATTATAAAGTTGGCTGGAAGAAACTAAAGGAAGTATTTAGTATGGCTGGCGTGGTGGTCCGAGCAGACATTCTTGAGGATAAAGATGGAAAAAGTCGTGGAATAGGCACTGTTACTTTTGAACAGTCCATTGAAGCCATGCAAGCTATATCTATGTTTAATGGCCAGCTGCTATTTGATAGACCAATGCATGTCAAGATGGATGAGAGGGCCTTACCAAAGGGAGATTTCTTCCCTCCTGAGCGTCCACAACAACTTCCCCATGGCCTTGGTGGTATTGGCATGGGGTTAGGACCAGGAGGGCAACCCATTGATGCCAATCACCTGAATAAAGGCATTGGAATGGGAAACATAGGTCCCACCGGAATGGGAATGGAAGGCATAGGATTTGGAATAAATAAAATGGGAGAAATGGAGGGGCCCTTTGGTGGTGGTATGGAAAACATGGGTCGATTTGGATCTGGGATGAACATGGGCAGGATAAACGGTGCAGGTGGAGGCAGCGTCCCTGGGATCGAGAGGATGGGTCCTGGCATTGACCGCCTCGGGGGTGCCGGCATGGAGCGCATGGGCGCAGGCCTCGGCCACGGCATGGATCTCGTGGGCTCTGAGATCTAGCGCATGGGCCTGGTCACGGACCGTATGGGTTCCGTGGAGCACATGGGCTCTGGCATCGAGCGCATGGGCCCACTGGGCCTCGACCACATGGCCTCCAGCATTGAGCGCATGGGCCAGACCATGGAGCGCATTGGCTCTGGCGTGGAGCGCATGGGTGCCGTCATGGGCTTCGGCCTCGAGCACATGGCCGCTCCCATCGACCGTGTGGGCCAGACCATTGAGCGCATGGGCCTGAGTATGGAGCGCATGGTGCCCGCAGGTATGGGGGCTGGCCTGGAGCGCATGGGCCCGGTGATGGATCGCATGGCTACCGGCCTGGAGCGCATGGGCGCCAACAACCTGGAGCGGATGGGCCTGGAGCGCGTGGGCGCCAACAGCCTGGAGCGCATGGGCCTGGAGCGCATGGGTGCCAACAGCCTTGAGCGCATGGGCCCTGCCATGAGCCCGGCCCTGGGCGCTGGCATCGAGCGCATGGGCCTGGCCTTGGGTGGCAGTGGCGGTGCCAGCTTTGACCGCGCCATCGAGATGGAGCGTGGCAACTTTGGAGGAAGCTTCGCAGGTTCCTTTGGTGGAGCTGGAGGCCATGCTCCTGGGGTGGCCAGGAAGGCCTGCCAGATATTTGTGAGAAATCTCCCATTCGATTTCACATGGAAGATGCTAAAGGACAAATTCAACCAGTGCGGCCACGTGCTATATGCCGACATCAAGATGGAGAACAGGAAGTCCAAGGGGTGTGGTGTGGTTAAGTCCGAGTCACCAGAGGTGGCTGAGAGAGCCTGCCGGATGATGAATGGCATGAAGCTCAGTGGCTGAGAGACTGACGTTCTAATCGATAGAAATGCTTAAGCAGTTGCCTTTTTTAAACATCGAAACCAGACCTCTGAATTTGTATTTTTTCTTGTTAACCATTTTAATTTGTTGGCTGGATGTATAAAGATGTTTAAAAAATTCAGTTGCTTTTTGGGGTAATTTGAATTACTTTTTTAATGACTGGGGTTCCATTTGACTGTTTGCATTGAGATTGCAATGTGCGCAATTTTTTTTGTAGTTGTGGCATCTTGTTGACATCAGATATGACTTTGATAATAAATACTGGTTCCTGAAAAAAAAAATAATAATAATCCTGGGACAATTTGTTATCCATATGGGAAAAAATACAGTACTCATTTGATCTATAAAAATAAATTTTAGGCTGCTTAAAGACCACGTAGGCCAAAGCACAGTGACTCGTACGTACCTTTAATTCCAGTACTTTGGGAGGCCAAGGTGGGAAGATTGCTTGATGCCAAGAGTTCAAGACCAATGTGGGCAATATAGCGGGACTACATCTCTATAAAAAAAAATCACCGTATGTAGTGGTACACCCCTGTTGTTCCAGCTACTCAGGAGGCTGAGGTGGGAGGATTGCTTGAGCTCAGGAGGTTGAGGCTGCAGGAAAAAAAAAAAGAGACTTCATGTGAAAGCAAAAGTTTAAAACATTTAGAAACAAATATACAAGAACATTTATATGACATAAAGGAAAGAAGGAATTTTTAAGACACTAAAAACATATCCTCAATGAAAAATATTGATTAAGTGATATTTTTTCAGCAAAGGACAAACTGAAAACATTGAAAAGACAATTCACAAAAAGGAAGAAATAGTTTCAAAAAAGGAAATTGGAAAATAATGGTATTCAGAATATGTAAAGAACTTTTGCAAATCAATGAGAAAAAGACAAACAACTAAGTTAAAATATTCAAAGGAAAATTCAGAATGGCCAATAAATATATAAAAACATGCTAAGTATTATTCCTTATTGTTCCTTTTGTGTAAATGTGATTTTCTTTGGTGACAAAGCCATAGGTACTCAACTGTTGTTTGTTGCCTACATTCAAAAGTGAAAGATTTGTTAAATTTCAATTACAGTTTGGTATTTTTTTCTTTTTCTTGTTTTTTTTAGACAGGGTTTCTCTCTGTTGCTCAGGCTGGGGTACAGTGGCACAATCTCAGCTCACTGCAACCTCCACTCCCAGGCTCAAGCGATCCCGGCACCTCAGCCTCCTGAGTAGCTGGGACTATAGGCATTTGCCACCATGCTTAATTTTTGGATTTTTGGTAGAGACAGGATTTCATCATGTTGCCTAGGCTGGTCTCGAACTCCTGAAGTGATCCTCCCACCTTGGCCTCCCAAAGTGCGATGAGCCACTGCACCCAGTCATTCATTAGATCAATGTATTAATAAAATACAACTAATATCAATGAGAAGAAATGAAAAAATCTGACACTTCCAAGTATTAACAAGGACATAGGCCAGTGGGAACTAAAAATCACTCCTAAGTGGAACAAAATTGTTCAAAATATTTCCAGAAAACCATTTGTCATTATTTCAAATTTCAAGATGCCGATAACTTACTACTCAACAACTGGAGCACTCACAACCTCATACAATAGGAGATAGGTACAAGAATATTCTGGCAGCATTGTTTGTAATACCAAAAAAATTTGAATCAATCAACAGAAGAATAGATAAATATAACATATTTTGGTAGATTCATCTGATATGGTTTACCTGTTTTGTCCCCTCCAAATCTCATGTTAAAATGCGATCTCCAATGCTGGAGGTAGACCTAGTGGGAGATGTTTGGGTCATGAGGGTGGATCCCTCATGAATGGCTTGGTGCTGTCCTCATAGCAGTGAGTTCTCACTCTATGTTCATGTGAGAGCTGGTTGTTTAGAAGAGTCTGGCACTTACTCCCTGTCTCTTTTTCTTGCTCTTGCCTTGTGATATGCCAGCTCCCCCTTTGCCTTCTGACATGATTGTAAGTTTCCTGAGGCCTCACCAGAAGCAGATGCTGATGCCATGCTGCTTGGATAGCCTGCCTAACCATTTGACAGAAAACAAACCTCCTTTCTTTATAAATTAACCAGTCTAAGGTATTCCTTTATGGCAATGCAAACAGACTAACACATATCTAATGGCATGCAATACAGTACTGAAAACAAATAACACTAAGGCTTTTGCATCAATGTATATGACAATTCTTAACAATTGAAATATTGAGTGAAAATGAAAGTTAGGAACATGTACGTTTATGCCAATATTATGGAAAGTTTGAGAACATGCACAAAACTAAACAATGTATTGATTAGGAGTACATTCACAGGTAGTAAAACTATAAGGACAAGCAAAAAAAACGATAGAAAAGAAATTACAGGAGAGTGATTAGTTAACCTCTGAGCAAGGGAGAGAAGATGCAAACAGGGAAAGACAAAGAAGAGGCTCCAATGTTATGCTGTATTTCCTAAAAATGGGTTGTGGTTACACCTAGGCATGTGTGCATCACATATACTCAAAGTAGTAAATAAAATCTCAGAAGAGGTGTTTTGTTTGTTTTGTTTGTTTTGTTTTGAGACAGAGTCTTGCTATGTCACCCAGGCTGGAGTGCCATGACATGATCTCGGCTCACTACAAACTCTCCCTCCTGGGTTCAAGTGATTCTCCTGCCTCAGCCTCCCGTGTAGCTGGGAGGCCTGTGCCACCACGCCCAGCTAATATTTGTATTTGTAGTAGAGACAGTGTTTCACCATGTTGGCCAGGCTGATCTCAAACTCCTGACCTCAAGTGATTCACCTGCCTCGGCCTCCCAAAGTGCTGGGATTACAGGCATGAGCCACTGAGCTCAGCCTCAGAAGAGTTTTAATGAAGAAGGATGCTGAGAGAGGAATGAGTTAACAGGGAGCTGGGGTTGTGTAGGAGTATAAAATGGAGAAGGGGGAGTTAAAGAAAGAAGACTTGACTTCAGTATTGTATCCAAGGTTGGCCATTTCTAAGATAGTGGCTCTATTTCTCTCTACTTAAATCCCACAGAAAGAAAATCGGGAAAAGTTACATATTTTCTCTTAATATTCTATATAGGAGTTACTACTCCTCAGGGCACAGAAACTAAAAGGGTGAAAACTAGAATAAAGTAATTTCCTTTTTTCTCTCTTTAAAGGGGGTGCTGAATGAAAGAGCAGTGGGTTGAGAGTTAGGAACCTAGTTTACTAGTTTTGCTGTTTTAAATTAATCATGTGACTTTGGGTAAATAATCTATCCTAATTGAACCTCAGTTTCCTAAACAGATGATTTCTAAAGCTTAGCTTTCAGTTCAGTTATTCCATGAGTTAGAGAGTCTTTCAACCAAAAAGCAAGTAGTACATTTATCATTTTAATAAAGACATATTCTATTAATTTGGAAAAGCTGAAGACAGTATTAATTTTCCTCCCACAGTCTTAATGAAGAAATAAAGAAACTAATTTTCCATTACCATTCAAGGGGCAATCCACTCCTTCACAGATAGTGAAATTAATGTAACAGATCCAACCAAATGAACAATCTACACATTTTTCTTCCCCTCTCCAATTCTAAGCCTTGGAACTGTATTTTACATTAAAAAGTTTAAAAGTTCACTAAAAATTAATGCAGTTTTAAGACTGCAGCTTACATATAATGAATGCAGCTTACATATAATGAATTTAGAGCAAAATATCTGCAGTGTCCAGTATCTTTGAGTAAGTAACATTTATAATTACCTTCATTTGTTGATGAAGCACAGCAGATGTTGTGATATTTACTGATTATAATTTCCCTAATTTAAATAACTTGTACCTATAAGGCATGCTTTTCCTAAGGTATTCAGGGTGGCAAGTAGTTATTAAATCATTTATCTTTACAACATATCAATGAAGCTAGTAGGAGCAAGTGTTGTTCTCATTATTTAAAGGAGAAGATTAAAAGTCAAGGATTAGGTCATGATCACACAATAATTTTTTTGTCATGAACATTAAGACTAGAACCAAAGAAATGTATATATTCCTCCCCCATCCACCTTCCTTCCTATTTAGGGGCAGTTCTCTGTTGTGTGTAACTCTAGTGGGATGCAGGGTCTGCCTTCCACTACTGAAACCAAAGAAGGGTGATGTTTCTTTTCCCAGGCTTGTGGCAGCAAGAGTAAGGGCACCTTATCTAGGCTCCAGGATCTGGAAACTCCAACTCAGAGAATGACACACAGATGCAGAATTTAGGAATTACCTGTAATGCTCAAGACAGCAAGTCTACAGTCCAGCTCTGTGTGTGACCCCCCTTCGCCCCCTAGCGTCCTAACTAGGCTCTTCCTCTATTATTGTCTAGGTTGTGGCTCTTGCTACTCAGGCTCCTTCTGCTTCTGCCATTTTCTGGATCTACTCCTTCAGGCATCTTATTTTGTGTGCTCACAATATCCTTCCAATAAATTCTCTTCTGCTTATGTTAGCCAGAGCTGTTTTCAGTTGCTTGCATTAATAGGAATAATGTCTGTGTAGTAGGATTATAAATTTATAAAATTATAATTTTCTGAAGAATTTTCTTCAGAAAATTACCTCAAGTCAGCTTTGTGTTTTATATTTTTGTTTAACTCAGACCCGCATTTTGGATACAGTTTCTTACACTTGACTTGACTCACTGAACTCTGTGAATAAAGGGGTCCAGCAAGCATTTTATTATATTTTATAGCAAAAACACAGGTTCTCTTAACCTTACTTCTGCTGAAGGCATTATACTTTTATCCCTAAATTGTCCTAGATGCTTATAATGTTTAAGTTTTGCATTACATTTAAACATTTCTCTATCACATTAGTTGAAGTTTAGCTGCAAAATCATAATGAGCCTGGGAACATGGCCTTTAGGAGAATGTCAAACACATATTTTTTACTGGGTATAATTTATAAGGTTAAAATGGAATTCTATGATATGATGCAAAGAAAAGCAAGATGCCAGAAAGTGTGTATAGAATGATTTCAATTTTATAAACATATGTGAATAGAAAAAAGTACTGGCAGGATAGATAATGAAAATACTAATAGGAATAATGTCTGGGTATTGGGGTTATAAGTTAGAGTTCTGTGTACTTTATTTGGCATTAAACAATTAACATATTATTTCATAATTATG